GCTGTTTTGGAGACAATTTCTCCCTCTGTAACTCAAACTGGCCTGGAACTCACTATGTGGTTCAGGTTGTCAATTCTCCACCACAGCCTTTGAAGTGTTAGGACATAGATAGGCATGAGCCACTAAACCCAGCTAGACCTGAAACTGTTAAAAAAAAAAAACATTCTTCCACAATTGTACGTGTATAATGACCACATTCTCTTACGGCCTCATGTCCTCTCCCTGCCACTGAGCCCCTCTTCTGAACAAGTCACTCGCCAAACTCTGCCTAAGAACTGGAACCCTTAAAAAATTAACAGGGGCTGGAGAGATGACTCAGTAGTTAGCTACACTGACGCCTCTTTTATACACATGACTATTTGCCTGCATGTATGTATATGCACAGCGCGTATGCCCACAGAGGTGGGAGAGATCGTCAGAACCCTTGGAACTGGAGTTACAGACAGGTGTCAGCTGCTACGAGGATGCAGGGAGCCAAGTAGGCTTTATTACATAGCCCTTGATGGCTTGGAACTCACTCTGTAGTCCAGGCTGAACTCCAGCTCACAGAGACATGGTGATGCAGGGTTTAGAGTGTGCCCTGCTGGGTTTTGGTCTTGCTTTGCTTCAGTATTTCCTCCTATGAGCCCTTTCCTCCCTTTTGGAATGATAAAGTATATTCTGTGCCATTGTATGTTAGAAGTATGTGATCTGCTTTTTGATTTTGCTTTTACAAGGAGCTAATAATTAAGAGAATGCCATGAGTCTCAGAACAGACTTTGGAGTTTTAAACATTACTGAGACTCTGATAGACTATGGGAACTTTTGGAGTAGAACTGAATGCATTTATGCATTATAGCATGACTATAAGACTATGGTGGCGCTGGGCCTTTAGTCCCAGCACTTGAGAGGCAGAGGCAGGCAGATCTTTGTGAGTTCGAGGCCAGCCTGGTCTACAAGAGCTAGTTCCAGGACAGGCTCCAAAGCTACAGAGAAACCCTGTCTCGAAAAACCAGTGGAATATGGTGGTTCAAATGAGAATGGCCTCTTTACAGGCTCATATGTTTGAATGTTCAATCACCAGGGAGCGGAACTGTAGCTTAGTTAGTAGAATGTTTACCTTATGCATGTGAAGCCCTGGGTTTTATCCCCAGTGCTACATAATTTGGACTTGGTGACTTATGCCTATAATCCTAGCACTTGGGAGGATGAGGCAGGAGGATGAAGAGTTTAAGTCTACCCTTGGCTATATAGTAAGTTTCCAATCTTGGGCCACACAAAACCCTGTCTCAAAAAACAAAAACTAAGAAACAAAACAAACACCCACCCCTACCAAGCTCTGAATAATCCCTTTCATGCTTATTTAGCATAGAGGTAATCTCTCAGTCAGGTCCCTTCCCTAGTTCCCTGAGAAAGGTGAAACTCCCATGAACACTCTGCTGATTGGGAATCAGTTTGTTTGATGTCTAGTTTCTTCCTGAACCCCTGCATATTTTATCTGTGGTTCACTACTCTGATTGGGCCAATTTCAGGGATGATTTGGAGTTTTGTCTGTCTCCAGTGTGTTTGAGAAGGTTACAAAGATTCTAAAAGATTCTTAAGCATACCTGGGCCCAGAGTCTGTTGTCTCAGAAACAAGTTCCTCTAGAGGGCAGTGTGGATAAACTCCTTGGCCAACCTAAGCAGGTAATTCTTGGACAGCTGATTATCAAAACAGACGGGTACCTAGTCTCCGAAGATCAAACAGACAGCAAAAAACACCTTGACAAAATAGGGTACAAAGACTCATGCCTGTAATCCCATCACCTAGGACACTGAAGTAGAAGTACCACAAGTTCTTAGCCATTCTGGGTTAACATCAAGGTCCTCAGAAAACAATAAAGCCAGGCAGCATGCTTGCATACTTGGGAAGTACAGACAGGAATATCTGCAATTCAAAGCCACTTGGCTATACAAAGAGCTCCAGGCCAGCCAAGACTACATAGTTAAACTTTGACAATAAATAAATATATAAGAAGGAAAGCAAGCAAGCAAGGATTGGGGAGGAGGAGGACAAGAAGGAGAAGGAAGAAAAGACTGCAGAGCTAACTCAAAGGTTAAGAGCAGCACATTATGTTCTTCCAGAGGACCCGAGTTCAGAATTTAGTACTTGTTATGGTAAAAATAAAACACTGCAGAAAGACTGCAGGTCCCTGAGTGGTGGCAGTGGACAGCAGGCCATGAGACTATTACAGGCCACGAAGGCAGCCGGGTCCCAGGTAGGTAGCCGTGTAGCGGGTGGGAGCTGTGTGGTGGGGCAGCCAGTCCCAGGAGGAGCCGCAGCTGCAGAGGGTGAGAGACAGACAGATAGGCATGCCATGAAGAGTGAGGTTGAATATTTATTTAGTGGGTTATGGAAGGGAAGGGGAAAGGGAAGAAGAAGGGGGGCAAGGAAAGAAAGAGAGAGGGGGGAAGTGGGGGAGAAGAGAGGAGCCATGGCAGCAGCTACTTCTTTTGGAGAGAGACTGAAAAGGAAGAGAGCTCAGGCTGGAAGCAGAAGGAAGATCTGCCTGCCTGGGTGGTGGACAAGGGTAGGGGGGTAGGTGTGGCTTATCTCTTAAAGGGACAGGACAGACCATTACATTCCCATCTCTTTTTTTATACTAAAAAGGCATGAGGTTAGGCACAACAGGTTGAAGGAATTGGGGTGGCGGTTTCTCAAGACTGCTTCCTGCTTATTTGTGGGTGTCATCTTGGTGGTGGTGGGAACCTGAGAAAGCTGGGTGCTGGTCACATCCTGGTGTAGCTGGTCTGTTTGTTCCTGTCCAGTATTTGTGGTATGGAAATGTCTGGTGTCTCTTACACCTGTTTAAGGTATTGGCAGAACAGAGGACAAAGTTAAGTTTAGGGAAAAAAAAATTTAGGACCAAGGAATTGAGGGGGGTATATCTGACCTGTTTAAGGTGGATCCTTCAGTTTGGCTCCCTAGAACTCACAAGAATTCTTTGGGTTTGTGAAAATGTAAGTTTTAAACAGTAGCTTTTTTTTTTTTTTTTTTCCGAGACAGGGTTTCTCTGTAGCTTTAGTGCCTGTCCCAGAACTAGCTCTTGTAGACTAGGATGGCCTCGAACTCCCAGAGATCTGCCTTCCTCTACCTCCCGAGTGCTGGGATCAAAGGCGTGCGCCACCACCACCCGGCAACAGTAGCATATTTATATCAGAATGACTGTGACAGATATTTTTGCATAATAAAAGTATCTTTAAGACTATGGAAGGTAGTATGTAGTTCATAGACATATATGCAGACAAAATACTCATTCACATATAATAACAATAAATAAATCTTTTTAAAAGAGGAGGAGGAAAGGGGTGATTGTAACTCAATTTAGGCTGGGTGTGGGAGTGATCACAGAGATTGTGTTGCTCCTGCTACACTTACCCCGCCTTCCCTAATGAAACTTCTGTTACTAATTCTGTTCCCAAGGTGATTTTCCTATAGGGATGCCAATAGCTTTCTTAGAATCAGTAAATAAATTGGACTCTTGTGACTTGATTGGCAGCTAGATGAAAATGTAGACTCAAGTTCTTAAACTTGCAAAATCCCAAATTGAAGCCTGACCAGCTCCATTAATGATCCCCAGCATGGACTGTTTCCTCAGTCACTGTTCATGCACAAGACAAAGTCATGAACACAGTTTCCATGGTGGCTGTTACGTGTGGACAGCCTACAAGAAGGGGGAACTGAAGTCACCCTCTGAGAAGGGTAGTGATAACATTTACTACGCATCTGATCCTGTTCTGGGCACTTCCAATATGGATTTTTCTCACTTGATGTCATAGCATTCCTCTGCTCTGCATACGTCTTTCTACCTTAAGGTGGGAAAGAAACCCAATCTCAATGCTGCTGCTTAGAGAGACAATGCTAATTTTCTCTGATGCAGAACAGTGACAAAGAGTTCATAGCTGTTTGGGTTAAGGCTTCACACCAGACTCTGGCATTCATACACCCAAAGAGTCTGGAATGTTTGGGTGGAAAGTTCCATCGAAGCCCTCTCCCCTGAGAGTTGCCTCAGTCCAGACTCCACCCCCAAGAAAGCCCTCTGAATGATGACCCCTCCTCAGAGATGCTCACGACCATCCCCACAGGGTATTTAAACTGCAACCCAGAGAACCAACACGTGGCTTTCCAGTCTTCCTTCCCATCTCTATCCCTGGAGGCTGGAAGGTCACCTGGCAGTGTTAGTATCCATTAAACCTGGGCTTTTTCTAATTCGGTTTGATTTAGTCTAATTTGGATTATTGCATCGGTGGAAAGGTTTATCGGGCAGCAAAAGTTTTTCATCAGCCTTGATCTTGCAACACAAACACTCCAAAGCACAGCTCCATCCCGATGAGCACGACCAATTTACAATATGGATTTTGAGTATCCTCCATGAGCCCATGGCTTGGTCCCCAGGTCAGAAATTTTAGATGTATTAGAAAGGTATTGAAAGGTGTTGAGATCATAGAGAATGCACCCTAAAGTGGGATTTGGGGACCTAGACCATCTTCTCCCTTTTTATTTCTAGGCTATGTAGTGAGGTTTTATTAAACCTTGAGTTTCCTACCTCGATATGCCAGCAATGGAACCAATCTATTACAGATTGAAATTTCTTAAATAGAAGCCAAATGAGCTCTTCTCTTCATAAGTTAACTTCAGCATTTGTGACAGTGGCATAAACTGACTAACAGACATGGGGAGTGAAAAAGTTTCAGCACCCCATAAGCCTCTCCGCCAACGCAGCAATCCAAATCAGACCAAATCAAACCAAATTAGAAAAAGCCCAGGTTTAATGGATAAAACACTTTCGGATGATTTTTCCAGCCACTTAGAGAGGAGACAGGAAAGAGAGATCAGAGAACCACGTCTGTTTTTTTGGGGGAGGGGGGCAGTTTAAATACCCGATGGGTGTAGTCTTGAGCATCTCTGGGGGAGGGGTCATTATTTGGCGGGCTTTCTGAAATGTGGCAGGGTTTGGAGAGAGATGAGGGAGGGGGTCGAGATGGAATTTCCACCAGATCATTCCAGGACTCTTTGGGTATATGGATGCCAGGGACTGGGGCGAAGCTTTCACCAGAACAGGTAGGTTGAATGGTCAGTTTAGAACTGGTGTTGGGCTGGGTGGTGGTGGCACACACCTTTAATCCCAGTACTTGGGAGGCAGAGGCAGGCGGATCTCTATGAGTTTGAGGCCGGCCTGGTCTACAAGAGCTACAGAGAAACCCTGTCTTGAAAAAAAAAAAAAAAAAGAATTAAAAAAAACTCTGCTTCAACAGTACCTCCTCCTGTTCCACAATCACCAACACTTCCTTTACTTCAGGACCCAAATCTTCTTAGACAGTTGCTTCCTGTTTTACAAGCCACACTACAGCTTAATAATTTTAATGTGGATATATCCAAGATAAATGAAACTCTTACAGCAGCTGCGACACACGCTTCCCTGCAGTCTATCCTCCACAAGTTTCTTACTGCTGGACCATCTGCCTTCAACATCACCTCCCTGATTTCTCAAGCTGCCCAGCTCTCTACACAAGCCTGTCCATCTAATCAGGCTCCAAGGTCTCTAATGTCCGATGCTTCATCCCCAAGTTCCTATGTGTCTTCAAGAATAAGCACACCTCAGGCTAACACAGTCCCTATCAAACCTTTGATTAGTACTCCACCTGTTTCATCACAGCCGAAGGTTAGTACTCCAGTACTTAAGCAAGGACCAGTATCCCAATCGGCCACACAGCAGCCTGTAACTGCTGACAAGCAGCAGGGTCATGAGCCTGTCTCTCCTCGAAGTCTTCAGCGCTTAAGCAGCCAGAGAAGTCCATCACCTGGTCCAAACCATACTTCCAGTAGTAATGCATCAAATGCAACAGTTGTGGCCACAGAATGCATCTGCTCGGCCTGCGTGTTCATTAACACCTACGCCAGCAGCACACTTCAATGACAATCTCATAAAACATGTTCAAGGGTGGCCTGCGGACCATGCAGAGAAACAGGCATCAAGATTGCGTGAAGAAGCCCATAATATGGGAAGTGTTCACATGTCAGAAATATGTACTGAATTAAAAAATTTGAGATCTTTAGTTCGAGTATGTGAAATTCAAGCAACTTTGCGAGAGCAGAGGATACTGTTTTTGAGACAAGAAATAAAGGAACTCGAAAAGCTAAAAATTCAGAATTCCTTCATGGTTAGAAGATGTGAATAACAGCACATGATATCCTACAGGAACTGTAAATCTCTTGCCCAGTCATAACATTTTGAGCTGCATTAAGTGGACCGTTAAGCTGGACAAATGAAATAACAAGGGGACGGGGCTCTGTGGGAGTCAATTCAGGGGAAGGATACAAGATTGATTTGTAAAACCCTTCAAGTGTAGATTTCTTGTTCTTCATCTGTTGTAAATATGTTTTGTAGAGTGAAGCCATGGGAAGCCATGTGTAACAGAGCTTAGACATCCAAAACTAATCAATGCTGAGGTGGCTAAATACCTAGCATTTACATGAAAACCTGTCTGCAAAATTAGTTTATTTTTAAAAAAGAAAAAAAATTGGGGGTTAATTTATCATTCCGTAATCTTGCATTCTCAAAAATCCAGTGCAAGCGCCAGGCGATCTGTGTCTAAGGATACAATTTTGAGCAGTGTACAAATATCCTGAGACAACCGTTCCACACTTGGACCTGACCAGGAGCAGTGCTGCTCCACTTGTTTTGCAAATAAATGTTTTCATTTCCTGTATGTTCCATTCCCTCTAAAGTTCTTGGCCTGATTTTATCCCTTTTTTTAAGGTGCTCTTTTCTTTTCTTAGGGCACTATTGCTGTGGCACTTTTCTAGAGCCTTCTCATTCCTGGAAGTTGCAGTGGTTGAGCATAACCCACGTTTGGATAAATTATTGAAATCCATTTGCACCCTGTAAGAATGGACTTAAAAGTACTGCTGGGCAAGTGTGCTGAAAGTACATTGACGGCTCAAATATAAGGAAGTGGCCCAATGAATGTGGTTGTGGGAGGGGAAAAGGAAGCAAAGCTAGTCAGACGTGAATTGTATCTGTTGTAATAAACATGTTGAAAAAAAAAAGAAAAGAACTGGTGTTGGTTCCATCTGCCAGGCCATCCAAAGGATGGGTGAATCCAATGACTGTTTTTCAGATTAATGTAGAACAGTGGCACTATCTATCTCACTGAACGCCCCCGACACACACAGACACACACGCACACACACAGACACACACAGAAACACACACGCCTGCGCGTCTTTTTAAACAAAGACAGGGTCTTACCATAGAGTCTTGGCTGGCCTGGAACTTGATATATAGACCATTCTGATCTCAAACTCACAGAGATCGACTTGTCTCTGCCCTCAGAGTGTTTTGATTAAAGGTGATCACACCTGGGTTATGTTCTTATCGTCTAAGTGTTAATACAAGTGTACTGAGAAATACCCAGCTTCAGTCAAGGGGAACATGTGTGGGGTGTTTCTCCTCTCTTCTTGTCTTCTCTCTTAAGAATTCAATTGAGACACATAATTTAAGAGAAGTTTATCTAGCGAAGCAAAACAAAATACACTCCAGGCAAATGTGGAGCAGGCTGCCAAAAGGGAGAGCGAACAGCAGCCCATTGGGTTCTGCACTGTGGATTTTTAAGATGGTTCTTATAGTCCCCTCCTGTGATGTCATTGTTAGTTCCTTTCTTTGAGTACCGCCTTCAGGTCTTCCTACTCTGATATGCTCCAAAGGTCAAGGTGTCCTTGTGCTCCTTTACATTTTCTCCTTATCAAGACCTCCTACAGTGGTCCTCTGTGGTCACTGGGAAAGTGTCACGGTGCCTGTATTTCTGCAGGATGGGAAGAACATATTTGCAGCATCAAAGCTGTCAAGCTACAAAGGGTTATTTCATCCCACCCAGCTACCAGGATATAGTTGTTTCCTGGGTTAGCGTAGGTCTAAGTCTCTGCTTACCCAATCAGCTGGTCTCTAACTGTAGAAAAGGTGGACAGCTTCCACGCTTCTGCTTGTGTTTACTTAGCTATCTATTCTAACAGAACTAGGATGCTGGAAGAATTCCTTCCGTAGGGAGTCATGAAACAGCAGCTACCCTCTTCATAAGAGCCCACTGACAAACCAAAGCACAATTCCGTCAAAGTCCACCCTGGAAAACCAATGATTTTTTTTTAAATTTTATTATTATTATTGTTGTTGTTTTGGTTTTTGAGACAGGGTTTCTCTTTGGAGCCTGTCCTGGAACTAGCTCTTGTAGACCAGGCTGGCCTCGAACTCACAGAGACCCACCTGCCTCTGTCTCCAGAGTGCTGGGATTACAGGTGCATGCCACCGCCCAGCTGAGAACCAATGATTTTAAGGGGCTTATTAACAAAGCATGAATAAGAGTTTACTTGTAAGAGCATGGGTGACCCCAAAGCTACCACACTGGATAGTCTTTTCACCCAGCATAGATGTGGTTTCCCATAGCTGCATAGACAAGGTTCTCTTCAGTGAACCTCCCCCCAGCCTATATCCTCTAACACCAGAGGCCAAGTGCACCTAGGGAAGAATTGCATACAAATGGCTGGAAGGGGCAGCTAGACTCACAGGTGGAGGTCTAATGACCCTCCCCACTTTCCCTTTCTATGAAAAGGTGTCAGCAATCAACAAGCTGTTTTCTGAAGGACTCTTAAAGCAGGAACAGCTTATCTGATGCAGACGTGGCCGTTTTGCTCAGAGGACTGCCTTTTAGAACACAGGCTTTTGTAGGGAGCAGAGGATGCTCTGAGTAGGCAGAGTCCTGAGTAGATGTATCTTTAGATATGGACAAAGCCTGTCAGGGACTCCAAGACTAATTAGTCCATAGAAAATTGGCAAAGCTGAGCTGGGCAGTGATGGCGCACACCTTTAATCCCAGCACGTGGGAGGCAGGGGCAAGCAGATCTCTGTGAGTTAGGCCAACCTGGTCTACAAATGAGTTCCAGGACAGCCAGGGTTACATAGTGAAACCATGTCTTGGGAAAAAAAATAAAAAGTCCAAAAAAAGAAAGAAAGGAAGGAGGAAGGGAGAGAGGAAGGGAAAGAAAGGAAGAAAGGAGAGAAAGGAAAAAAGAGAAGGAGAAAAAGGAAGGAAGGAAGGAAGGAAGGAAGGAAGGAAGGAAGGAAGGAAGGAAGGAAGGAAGAAAACCAGTTGGCAAAGCTGCTACCCATAAAGGCCAGGCTAGAGAGAAGTATCTTGGGAGTCGAAGTATTTAAGAAGAATCGGTCAATCTCCGTAAAGACCGGCAACAGCAGTTTCCTCCTCCCGGATGTTTACAAGAAAAGACTGGTCTACAGAGAGACCTCCTACAGAGACTAGCTAACTCCTCCTTCTGAGCTGCAACAATAAACTCCCTCAGATTCCAGCCTTAGAGAGACCACCCACCACACACACCTGATCCCAGTGTAGGTGTCTGTGTAGCTGTCATTTTCCTCATTTCCTGGCTCACCCTACCTAGGGTTCCAGGACCCACGTTTCTCGGAATGTGGCAGGATATGATTACAGAAGGTGTATGCGAATTAACTGTATTGTAACATCTAGGGAACAAAAAGAATACAAAACTCAGGATGTGTTTTATAGGGCAGAACCAGAAACATTACACTGTCAATGAGTGTTTGTTGAACAAATGAAGTGCCTTTCAACATTGCCCCAACTCTGTATCTATCTAGTATGTAGTTTCTCCTATCCTATTCTGAAACAACTTGAACAAGGTTTTGTTTCTTTCTCAGGAGCCCAATTTGGTCTTGATGATTGTCCTTTTATTGCTATGATCAAAACAATGACCAAAAGCAACTTGGAATAAAAAGGGTTTATCTGGCTTACAGGTCCAAGTCCTGGTTAGTTGAGCATTGAGGATCTTCATGGCAATAACTCAAACAGGAGTGGAGGGCAGAACTATGGAGGAAGGTTTCTGATTTGCTTTCATGCTCATATTTAGCTACCATCAGTCCAACCGTGGCATCACCGGCAATGGGCTGGGCCATCCCACATCAATCAACATACAAAATGTCACACAGACATGCCTACAGGGCAGTGTGATGAAGGCATTTCCTGTTCCCTCCTCCCTGATGACTCTATTTTTGTATTAAGTTCACAAGCAACTAATTGGCACAGTGACTTATATTTCATGGGTGGGTGGGGGAGCATTTAGGCCATGACTCTCAAATCTCCCATTACTGAATTATACCTCTACCTTCATCTGGACCCAGTTTATAGACTCCCTCCAGTTCAAATAAAAGTATACCCCTTCATCTGTATCCTAGACCAACCCGCTTGTTGTGCTCTGGATACTATCTCCTCTGGCTTCCTCAAGGGCTGCCAGTCCTTTTGTCCGTACCATTTCCATGCTTACTGTGTCTCGTTTCTACAGCTTCATTCCACACACGGGGCTCCAGCCACATTGGCTTTGCCATTCTCCATTTTCCTCTTATTTCTTCCTTGAATTTCTTTCTTATCCATCCCCTCATGACCTGGAACACGTGCTCCTCCTGGCTCAGTCTCTCACTCAAGCGCTGTGATTGCAGGGGCTTTGCCATTCTTAACAACAACAACAACAAACCTTCATGACTTTCATATGTACTGTTTCCTTGCCTGGGGAACTCTTGACCTTTTTGTTTGTTTTCCTTTAAATTTCTTTTTTTATTTTATTATTATTATTATTATTATTATTTTTTTTTTTTTGGTTTTTCGAGACAGGGTTTCTCTGTGGTTTTGGAGCCTGTCCTGGAACTAGCTCTTGTAGACCAGGCTGGTGTCGAACTCACAGAGATCCGCCTGCCTCTGCCTCTGCCTCCCAAGTGCTGGGATTAAAGGCGTGCGCCACCACCGCCCGGCCAAATTTCTTTTTTTAAAAAAAATCAAATTAGGGGCTGGCTGATGAGCTAGATGGCTTAGAAGTGGAAGCACCTGCTGCCGAGGCTGATGACCTGACGTGGCTCTTCACAACCCACGTGGTGAGCGTGGACCACCACACCCGGCTTGGTTTCTTTGTTTCTGTTTTTTTTGGTGAGGACCCTGTTGTGTAGCAAAGTAGCTCCGGCAGGCTAGGGACTTCAGAACTGCCACAGAAATGTGGATATTACAGCTTCTTCTGCTTCTCCTTCTCTTCTTTTTTGGTGGGACAAAGACATTTTTGCTGTGAAGTCTAGGGTGACCTGAGTTCAGCATCTTCTAGCCCCACTCTCATGGGTGCTAATATTGGGGTGTGCTGTGTTTTGCATATT